TATCAAGTGCACAAGGAAATATTCGAAGATGGCCAAAATTTTTGAATAAATGATGTGTAAAGAAATTAATCACACATGAGAAATTAAGTGATTTAGAACATGCTAGGACTAATTAGCATGCATGATTGACCCTCTAAAGCGCACCAGAGACTCACGACCATTTCATCAAACAAGTGGTATGCATGTCATTTTTTTTATCATTTCAAGGTTAAAGCATGAATACTTGGAATTCTTTCAAGGTGGGTTCAAAAGAGACAAGTTAATGACAAAACCGAATGGATTAAAAAACAAAATATATCATATCATCAATGTTTCACATGCAACCCAAAATTTCCAGCAACTCAAACTTAAAAAGAAAATGGTAGAACTTAGGCAAAGATGCCTAAAACACCAAGATGATTCACAAGGATGAAGATGGCATGAATTAACACATGAAGAAAGAAAAATGGATCATGAAAATATGGTAAGGTGATGACCCACTCTAGCACAACAATTTTGACAAGTAAGAAGACTCAAGAACATGACTGAAAATTTAAAAAAAGGACTAGATGTTTTTAATGCATGTCAATGCTATGGTAGGCTCACACATGAGTTGTTTTATTCCTGACAGTAGTACTGAACCTTTCCAATCTAAGTGGCGACATTTGATAAATCATCCTAAGTAGAGTCAATACTAGAAGGATTGTATTCTAAGTCGGTTATTATTCCATTTCTACATCGGTTCTAAAACCGACTTAGATGAAGGCAACTTAGATGAATGAACATATCTACATTAGTTATGTAAAAACTGACTTAGATGTATGTGTTCATCTAAGTTGGTTTTATTAAAACCGTCTTAGAAGTATACATGTGAATGACAACCCAGAATGCTCAACCACCTCTTTTACAGATGAAAATGATTTTTCCCAAATGTCTTCACAAAGCTCTTCAAATTTTTCACGCATTATTATGCTCCTATAAAAAAAATGAACCATGAATATATAAACCCTAATGCCCAATCTATCTCCAAACGAGCCATGAATGAAGTACCTTTTCGTTCCCTCACAACTGCAAAGGGAAACACCTTTGGCATCACTCATTTCTTCGACCCTGTTGTGTTTGAAACACCTCTGGCCACCATCACTTCAGTGAGAGGTTATGCACGAGAGGTTAAGAGTTCTCACAAGGTTGTCGTTGAGAGGTTGTTGAGAGATACGACGAGGTTGAGACGTTGAGAGCAACTGAGAGAGACGATGAGGTTGAGACGTTAAGAGCAAATGAGAGAGAACTGAGAGAGACAACGAGGTTGTAGGTGGTAGATTGAAAGGCGTGCATGAAATGAGAGAAAACGTGCGTGTGATAATTTTGGGTCTCCATCTAAGTCAGTTTTACACAAAAATCATCGTAGATCAGTTATCATCTAAGTCGATTTTACAATAAACCGTCATAGATATGTGCGTCTAAGTTATTCTACTACGGTTATTGTCTAAACCGTAGTAGATTAGATTCATTTTATTTACAAAAATGTCACTGTGTCTTCTTCTTTATCATTTTTTAGTAAACAGTCTTAGATTGAGCGACTTAGATTATTCAAATTGTAGTAGTGAGTTGACCTTAGACCTTGTTTGCAGGGGCAACCACCTAGGACCCATGACCTAGAGAGGCCCATTGTTTTCAAACTATACAATTATGTTATAATTTTTATATTATTTTTAAAATTAAATTAAGATTATCATCTTTTATATATTTAATTATTTGTTATATTTATTGTTAATTTTTTATGCATTACATTCATAAAAGGGTAAAATATGTTTTTAATCCCTGTAAAAATTTTCAAGTTTGGTTCCAGCTTCTCAATTTATTTTTGTCCCTTTAATTTGGAGAAACATTACTTTTGGTCCTTAAAGTTATTTATATAATACTTTTATAATAAATGATAATATGAAAGTAAATTGAATAAAAAAAATGTAGTATATCTACTTAGATTTTTTAATATAATAAAACATGTTATTTTTTATCAAAAGTTTAATACATTGTTTAAGTTTCTAATTAAACTAAAAAAATTTATAATTGAGTTATTCATTATTTTTTGTAATTTAGTCATAGTTACATCAAATTATTATCTCATATATCACCATACCTGTCTAACGGATTTTAATCTACTTATAAAAATTTTCAGTCTCTTTAATCATAACAATAATAGAATAGTAGAAAATTTTAACTAATGGAGTGTAAAACTTAATACACATGAATTATGACATTGGATAATAATATAACATAATTGTCTGAGTATAAGGAAATAAAAAATATTTTGTCAAATTAAATATCACAGATCATAAACAAATTTATAATCATGGAGACTATAAAAAGATAAAAGACCAAATTATAAAAAAAATAGTTTAAAACCTGATTAAAAATTCTCAAAAAAAATTCATAAACTAGATATATTAAGCATTAATTAAATCATGTATCTATTTTTATATAATAAATGTTTACATTTCAAATTTTTTATATATAAGGGTCCATACTTATTGTTTCGTCCATGGTCCACGAAATGTCAAAACCGACCCTAATCCTAAGTTGCTTACAATTGTTATTCAAAAAGTGTGTTGTTATGTCCTAGAGATGAAAGGTTATATTTGTTGTAAATTCAATAGGGTTAAGTCACTTAGATTTCTTATCATGTTGCAAGATATCTTTAGAGTTGATAAAATGTGTGATGATGCATAGAGTTGTTGTTCATTTGTGTAGTTTTAACTTGCCAAGTTGTGCATGTATAATGATATGTATGCTTTTGTTGAACTTAAGTTATTGAGTGATTTTGAGTTGATGTTTTGTTGTTCGGTTGGAAGTTACTCAGGATGTTGATGTTGAGCTATGAGAGTTGAAATGGAGTTTAATGAAAATTTGGTGTCTGAGTTGTTATTTGTAAGGTTGATTTTTAAGTTGAGTGATTTGAGTTGATGTTTTGTTGTTCGGTTGGAAGTTACTCAGGATGTTGATGTTGAGCTGTGAGAGTTGAAATGAAATTTAATGAAAAATTGGTGTCTTATTTGTTATTTGTAAAGTTGATTTTTAAGTTGTTATAATTAGCTTTTATGCTTTCTAATCCTTTATGGAGTGAGTTTCTCTAAAGTGAGGAGATTTCACTCTAGAGAGAATAGAGTACAATAATAATTATTTATTAAAAATTAATAATAAATATTATAATTGATTTTATTATACATGTATTTGATTTATTACAATTCTAAATTATTTATTTTTTAATCAACAGTGAGAGTATTTTATCCTTTAAAGTGCACCTTTCACCTTAGAAGAGTTGAACCCTTCATTGTAGATTTTAAAAGACTTTGTAAAAATGTCATGATTTTAAATATTTTTTTAAAAGACTTTTAAAACTTGGATTTTAATCAAGACTTTGTAATTTAGATTTTAATATATTTTTGATGAATTTATATTATAAGATTTTAAAGGATTTCAAAGGAAATCATGGATTTGCAATACAACAATATTTAATAAAAAAAATAATATAAATAATAAAGAAAAGTAAAAGCAATACAATTTTTCTATCTTTTGATAAATATTTATCTTTATCTTTTGACAAATAATTGACTTTAATGTCTTTCTAACTAACATGTCTTCACAAATATGAAGTTATACTAGTCCTCGATGCATTGACATATTCTCTTTTATGCATTTGAGTTTGAATAATATGTTTAAAATTATAGTATTTATTAACTAATAATATTGAAAATGAAGATTCATCCACTATTTCAATTAGAAATTTATTTGAACAACATGCTTTGTGAAAAAAAATTATGTAATTCTAGATTCTAATATAAGTTTAGCTTGTGAGAAAGAGAGAGGAGAAAGAAAGGCAAGAAGAAGAGAGGAAAAAATAGTGAGATGGAAAAAAAAAAAAAAAAAAAAAGTAAGAAGAATAATAATAATAATAAAAAAGATAAATGAGAGGAATAAATAAATAAAAAATGAGAAAATGAGATAGGAAAAAGAAAAAAAGACAGAGAAGCAAGAATGGAGAGAGAGAGAGAGAGAATGAGAAAAAAAAAGAATATGAGAGAGAAATAAGAAAAATAAGAGAAAAGTTTTAAGAAAAAGAGAGAAAAAAGAGAGTAGAAATAGGAGGAAAAAAATCATGTGAAATTTTAAGGATTTTGGTAAAATTGTTTGATGAATGAATTACATATAAATTATACTAAAAAGATATCTCAAAATCTAGTATGCAAAATAATTCATTGAAATATCTTTATTTTTTAATATCAATATAATTTTTCAAGTAAAGAAAATCTTAATTGAATACAACTAGATTTGATGGACTCCTAGAAATTTATAATTATCTTAATTAAATATTATCAAATTTTGACGAATTCTTAAAAATTCTTAATTGTTTTGATTAAATATTACTTAATTTTTTTATATTAAAAAATTTTGATTGAATACCAAAAAAAGTTTTATAATAAAAAAATCTTTTAAAATTCATCGAAATTCTAATTAAATATAATCCTAAATTTCTTTGTTAAATTCTATAAAAATATGATATTATTTAATTTTTTTATTTAAATTTGTGAGATTGAAATATAATAATTTTTTTAACTTTTATTTTAGACTTATGGAATTAAATTATTTTAGTTTATTAAATTTGTTTAAACTTATGCGATTAAATTATTTTAATAATTAAATTTAATTTTAAAATTAAAAAATCCTAATTAATAAAATTATGTATAATATTTAAATAATTTTAATTTTAATTTTTAAATTATAATTTTTAAAGATTATTATAATAAATAAAAATTATCATTAAAATATCATTTAAAAATTATATATATTTTTAAAATAAATATTTACAAATATTTATAAATATCTATAAATATTTAAAAAATAAATAAATACTTACTTAACAAATATTCACAAAAATATAAAAATAGAGCGAATATTTATCCAAAAACAAGGAACTTCTGAATAACATCCCTACCTCCAACTCCAAGGCAAGTCTCCACATTTCAAAATTGGGCGGCAAACGCAAAACATTCCCCAATTTAACAAATTTCCCAAACATTTTGCATCTTCAAACACACACAACACTCATTCCAATGTCATCCTCCTCCACCACGCTCTTCATCGCTCTCCAATGCAGCCAATGCTCCACCATGCAGGTACTCTCTCTCTCTCTCTCTCTCTCTCTTTCTCTCTCATCATTCTAATCCCATTTACGCGCCACTCCGTTCAGGTGAAGCAGAAGAAGAAAAGCAGCAACAAATGGAGTTGCGCGATCTGCAACCAGAAACAATCCGTACGCAGAGTCTTCGCCCAGGGATTAATGGCCAAGGACCTTCGCAAGTTCGTTCAGGACTTCAACATGTCCCGCAAATCCTTCGACGACGGAGATTCGCCCCTCGCCGGAACCCTAGATCCGCCGCCGGAACACCACCACGGCGAGGTCGACCGCAAGCAGAAGAGGAGCGATTGGTCCGCGTACCTCGACCGAGAGGAACAACAACAGGATCATATTGATGATGGTTAGTCTTTATTTATATTTTATTTATTTTTAGACCTAAAACCTTATGAAAATATACTATAGAGATTTAAAACAAAAAACACTACAGCTTGATTTTTCTTTTATGTATTATTAATCTGAAGATTTCTAAACCGTTAAACTAATTAGGAATAATTTTAATTTTAAAATAATATTATAAAAATTAATAATCATGTCTTCCATAATTTATAATGAAATAATAACGTAAAAAACTTTAATGTTGTTGAATTTTTAGGTTTAATTATCTAATAATTAAAATATTTTCATTTTAGTTTCTGCATATATCATTTATTTTTTCTTTTACCCCATATAGTCGCACAATCTATCTCTTTTAGTTTTTATAATTGCATAAATTTTTAATTTAGTCATATATTTTCTTTTTTTTTTTAATTTCTATAAAAATAGACAATAAAGCCTAAAAAGAAATAGAAATGATATTTACAGATACTAAAATGAAATGTTTTTAACTATAGTAACTAAAAGTTAAACTTTATAAAATTATATGGATAAAAAGGTAAATAATTCATATTTTTATTATATTTCAATTAAATTACCATCTATCTTCTTAAGTGAGGTTTTGTATTTAAGTTGATAAAAAAGAATGATTGAAAGTATAAATTTTTTATTTTAGTCTTTATAGTTGCATAAATTTTCATTTTTAATTTCTATAAAAATAGACGACAAAGCCTAAAATGAAATAGAAATATTTATGAAATGTTTTTAATTATAGTAACTAAAAGTTAAAGTTTATAAAACTATATGGATAAAAAAGGTAAATAAATCATATTCTTATTATATTTCAATTAAATTACCATCTATCTTCTTAAGTAAGATTTTGTATTTAAGTTGATAAAAAAGAATGAGTGAAACCACTAAAAGTGGTTAATGAAGTTTCTGAATGAAGATCAGTTGTTAACTAAGTAAATCAACCATCCTTTGCCGTCATATTAATGTGTGATATCATAATGGTTAAATTTTGGCGAGTGACTACATGGATTGTTAAATAAGCTAGGCAGCTTCGCACGGTAAAGGAAAAAAAATAAATAGAGAGTACCATATATCATTGTAGATAAAGGGATATTTAGTGGTTTTAATTTATTCAATAGGGATAATCATAATCGTTGTGTGGAGAAGAGGGAAAAGTTACTAGTGTGTTGATCATTGTAATAGTGTTGGTGGTAGATATAATTTATTTTAATAATTGTGGATTAACTGGGTTTTGGTTCGTCATGGTGTGTATTTTAGCTCGATTTTGATGAATTTGGGACGGATTGAATTGAACAGGAGATGATTTTGAGCCACTGGTTGTGACTGAGTTGCAGAAAGGTATGTTCAAGAAACGCAGAGTGGCAGAAGATTCCACTGCAGGAAGTGACAAGCTTTTCAAAATGCCTCTTTCCTATAACGCTCAAGGTGCATATTCCTTCATTTATGTGTTTTTATATTTCAATTTGTTTTGATACTTCACAAATCACAGCATACAAAACAACATATTTTATGTATTGCAATTTGTTGATGAGAAAATTATTGCCTTGTTACTTTGTTTTTGAGCTTTATCTACTTGAGCTTCACAAATGTCAAATCACCATATGCATTTAATCATGTTAATATATAGCATTAGGACCATTATTTGCTACTTAAAATATCATAAGCTATAAGTCTTAATTGAGTGATAAGACAACCAATTTTGGCACTCGTTGAATCCGTTGCAATAGAATGTGGTTTTAGTACTGGAGTGGTTTTCAATGCAGGTGGATAAGGATTAGAGTGAATCTCAATAAAGATAAAATAAATTTTCATCAAAATTTTTTACTTTTAAAATTACATATATCTTTCTAATGCATATGAGCAGAAAATATAGTAAAAATTTTATTTTCTAAATGTATTGAATACATTAATAATGATATTATATCATGTATGTGGATTCATATTGATGCAGACGAGCCAATTATTGATCAACGCAGAGTTACATCATCGACTGAAATCAATCCACATAGAAATAATTACATGACAGCAGATAATCAGAGGACTCAAAAATGCAAAACAAGCAACAACAGGGCAGCCTCCAAATGGAACAATTACTTAACTGAGGACAATGAAAATTTAGAGCTTGGATGGAAGAGAGGCTTTGACTTGGACCAATCAGGTCCATGAAACAACAGCATCTTAGAGGCCATGGCTAGTGAAACAGTAGAAGATGATGTTCACCCAGATTTTGTGTGAATTGTATTATATCGTAGATATAATAATTAGATTACTGATAGTTGAGTTGCATATTTACCAGCGCGGTGACCAATGGCTAGAAGAACAAAAAAAACACTTCACCAAATGAATATAAACAGTGCCTTACATAAAAAATTTCTGAACCTTTTCCGGGTAAAATTTTGCGTTACTTTAAAAGAATTTTGTTTTTCTGTAGTTCTTGACAACAAAGAGAGATTACTGTCGAGAAGAATACTGTATATCTTATTCAAAAGATGGTGATAAGTGCGCATTGTTAGGGTCACCTGTTTTAGTGCTTGATGGCACGTGGTTTTATCTTGATGAGTTAAAGAAAAGGTGTTTATAAACTTTCTTTTATCTCGAATGTTAATCAATGTTAGGTTTTTTCAGCGTGCCGAAACAATAAAATTATTAGTATTCTTGAATTTTTAAAAGTGGCTTAAAACAATATCTAAATGCTAGTTTTCTTCCACAATTAGCCAGGGAAGATACAAATAATAAAAACATTCTCTTTTAAGATCGTTTTATTTCCATGGCAAATATGTTTAATTTGGAATATGGGAACTAAATTAATGTCTCATGAGTGCCAAAACATTCAATGGCATGGTAATTGCAATGTACATAAAAATGGTTTTCTTTTGTCATGATATATATATATATATATATATATATATATATATATATGTTGTGCACCGAGGAGGGATTTTACGCATAAATACATGTCTTCACATTAGTGAGATATTGTCTACTTTAGGTCCAAGTTCTCACGAATTTGCTTTTAGACATTACCCAAAAGGTCTCTCAACCAATCCTTCCCTCAAGCAAAGGACCATAGTTTACCCTCCTCTGCCGCGAAAACTACGAGTATTATTCGACGGTGGTCCCACAGAGCTCACTCATGTTCAGAGTGCTTGCACCACCCCGTTCTGCTTTTGGAACAGCCCGGTCCAACCTAAAAACATTATTTTCATATAAAAATTTTTATAAATAATTTTAAATTATTACAAACCTCTATAAAACCCCTCTAATTAACAAAAATAACTATATAAAAATAAATAATAATCAACATTGTATTAATAGAAAATTCGAGGTGTTACATTATAAGCTACATCAATTAGCTTATGGAATGAAAATAATAAGCTCCTAAAATAAGTTTTCATACTTCATGAACTTATTTTAGTCAAATTAACTTATAAATTAGTCAAAAAGCTCATAAGCTCCTAAAAGATTTTGTCAAATGCATCCTTAATGTTTGAGCAAAAGAGCCAAAATGATCGATGTTCTTAGTTTTTATGTAATATCAATTATTTTTTCCCTTAAATTGTCCTATCATAAATATTTCAATAACTATAATAAAAAATAATGTATTTATTGAAAACATGAGGTTAATTTACCCCCTTTGTCCTAAGGTGGCTACCATTTTAGTATTTAGAAAATATTTCAAAATGACTCATTTGTTCACTTCTCAATGTTATGCAATATCAATTACTATACTATAGTTAAAAAATAATACATTTATTGAGAGAGTAAAATTATTATTTTAATAAAATTATATTAAAAAAAAGTGACATATTCATTGTTATTTTTAATTAAGTTAATCACATATACACTGCCAGTGTAAAGTTTTTTTACATTGGCAACCAATTATATCTTTTAATTGTGTCATGTCACTATAAGCACATTTACTTTTAACAGTGACATGACACAATTAAAAGATATAATTGATTGCTAGTGTAAAAAAACTTTACACCGGCAGTATATAGGTGATTAACTCTTTTTAATTTACGTATAAAAACCTTAAATTGCAATCACTTTAAGACGGATGAAATATTAATTAATGAGGTATTTAATAGAAAGTGGGTTTTAAATATTCATTTATTATTAGGTATTGAAAAAGAGGATAATAACAATTTTTAATGGTGTTATTAATGAATATTTAAATTCATATATTCATTTATTGATTATTGTACATTCATTTATTATATTTATGAAATTATTTCTTATGCTTATTTATGAATTTAATTTATTGATTATTGTACATTTATTTATGAATTTAATTTTGAGTAAAATATGTTATCCTTCATGGAGAAATGAAAGTATTTTTGTTATACGGTATTAAGAATATTTGTTTACATCATTTAATTTTATTAATTCTACTAAAAAATAATTATTTTCTTAAATTATCATTTCTCGAAACTTGATATTAAGAATAAAAGGAACATTTAAACTATAATCTCAATTAAATGAAGGGATATTTTAGAGAAAATAACATTGTATAATTTGAAATTTGCCTATATTGACTAATAACATGAGATTTTGTATGCTTATATTCAAAATCAGGAGAGTAAATAATTAACATTTTAGCATATGTAATGTGCAAGATATTTATTTATTTTATATAGCTAATATTTTTTAAAATAATATTAAAATAAATATAAAAATAATGTATTTAAATAGATAAAGAGTTAAGAAAATATTGAAAACTGATATACTCCAAGAAATAGAAAGTTAAAAAAATATTTGAGTAATATAAAAATAATGTAGATGGATAATATTTGAACTTTAAAGATAACGTGTCATTTGATTTCTCTCACATACACACACATATATATATGTGTGTGTTTATAATATCACATAATTCAACAGTTGGATTACTTAAATTTGTATTATAAAAAAAGTTATTGAACATATAAGATTTGGTTTAAGATTTTAGATTTACATATGTTGTTTATATATGAAAGTTATGATCTATAAACAACATATGTAAATCTAAAAACTTACACCAAATCTTATATGTTCAATAACTTTTTTATAATACAAATTTAAATAATCTAATTGTCGAATTATGTGATATTATACTAAAGATTATGAATATCGAATTTCACATGATTTGAACATATATAACATAATTCAATGGTTAGATTGACTAAATTTGCATTATACAAAAAGTTATTGAAAGTATAATATTTGGTGTAAGTTTTTAAACTTTGACTTGGTGTCAACAAATCCTGGCTCTTTCAAGTAAGTCTATTTAGACTTACTGTACTCAATAATTCATGTTCAATATCAAATTTCAACAATCTAACTGATGAATTAAAAGTTCTTAATGCATAAATCAATCTACAATTTTTTTTTAAATATTGAAAATTATTTGATACTTTGTTTCATCAATTTAAATCAACATAGGTAGACTTACCCTTGAAGTCAATGTATACATATATATAAGGATAGATCCACTAACTCTAAGAGTAAGTCTACTTATACTTACTTCACTCAATAACTCATATTTACATCTAACCATTTAATTAAAAATTATTAATTCATAGATAAAGTTTGTAAAGGTTTAGAAATTTTCAAAATTATTTGATATCCCGTCTCATCAATTTAAATTGATAGATAATCATAAAAATATTTTATATGTTATTTTGAATTAACGAAATAAAGTACCAAATAGTTTTGAAATTTTCTAAAATTTTGTAGACTTGATCTATGCATTCATAAATTTTAAATAAACGGTTGGATTATTGAAATTTGATGTCAACATGAGTTATTGAGTGAAGAATAGGTAGACTTACTCTTGGAGTAAGTGAATATATATATATATATATGTGTGTGTGTGTGTGTGTGTGTGTGTGTGTGTGTGTGTGTGTGTGTGTGTGTGTGTGTGTGTGTGTGTGTGTGTGTGTGTGTGTGTGTGTGTGTGTGTGTGTGTGTGTGTGTGTGTGTGTGTGTGTGTGTGTGTGTGTGTGTGTGTGTGTGTGTGTGTGTGTGTGTGTGTGTGTGTGTGTGTGTGTGTGTGTGTGTGTGTGTGTGTGTGTGTGTGTGTGTGTGTGTGTGTGTGTGTGTGTGTGTGTGTGTGTGTGTGTGTGTGTGTGTGTGTGTGTGTGTG